CAGCGAGACAGTCTGTCTGCAGAGCAGCGAGACAGTCTGTCTGCAGAGCAGTGAGACAGTCTCCATCACAGTCTGTCTGCAGAGCAGTGAGACAGTCTGTCTGCAGAGCAGTGAGACATGTCCCTGACATCTAGTCAAACCATAGAAGGTAAAATCACTGAACGTGTTGAGGTCAAAGTTCACAGATGTCAGTGTTTCCACTGAGGAGGAAAAACATGGTCAGAGTTTAAATGTTTGATATTCAGCTTCTTCTTCTGTTTCTCCTTATCACAATGGATTTGAGTTCTCTGGGTTCTACTATGTTCTCTGTGTTCTCTCAGTTCTCTGTGTTCTCTGAGTTCTCTGAGTTTTCTGGGTTCTACTGGGTTCTACTGTGTTCTACTGTGTTCTCTTAGCTCTCTGTGTTCTCTGTGTTCTCTCAGTTCTCTGGGTTCTACTGTGTTCTACTGTGTTCTCTGAGTTCCACTGTGTTCTCTCATTTCTCTGGGTTCTCTGGGTTCTACTGCATTCTCTGAGTTCTATGAGTTCTATGAGTTCTCTGAGTTCTTCTGTGTTCTCTGGGTTCTCTGAGTTCTCTGGGTTCTACTGTGTTCTCTCAGTTCTCTGGGTTCTCTGGGTTCTCTTAGTTCTCTGAGTTCTACTGTATTCTCTGAGTTCTCTGAGTTCTACTGGTTTCTCTGGGTTCTCTTAGTTCTCTGAGTTCTACTGTGTTCTCTGAGTTCTCTGAGTTCTACTGTGTTCTCTGGGTTCTCTGAGGCCGGGCTGGGATCAGATTAAATACGAGCAGAGTATTTATAACACTGACATTAGAGATAAAGCTGCTGAATGTTGGAATGTAGGAATCTGACAGATATTCACCTCAGTGAAGCAGCAGCAGAAACTCTGCAGCAGAAACTCAGAAACTCTGAAACTCTGCAGCAGAAACTCAGAAACTCTGAAACTCAGCAGCAGAAACTCAGCAGCAGAAACTCTGCAGCAGAAACTCAGAAACTCAGCAGCAGAAACTCAGCAGCAGAAACTCAGCAGCAGAAACTCTGCAGGCGTCCACAGGATTAACTCCAACTCTTCACAGAAAAACTAATGTGACTAAAGACTGAAGCTTCCAAACACCACGAGGTTTGTTCCTCAGTTTTCTGACCAGAACAAACTGTGGATGGAATTTATCACCTCCTCCTCCACCGGAGAGCAACACAACACAAAGCTAATGTTGATTCTGTCAATCACAGAACAAACACAAGAGACAAACTGGAATGTATCACCTGCTATAAAATAAAACACACACACTGACATACACACACACACACTAACATACTGACACACAAACACACACACACACTAACATACACACACACAGACATACACACACACACTAACATACACACACACTGACACACACACACTAACATACTGACACAC